AGATTCACAAGAAGAAAACTAAATTCAAATCTCTAAGTAATTATATTTCTCTGTTTTTATTTTCTCTCTCTTCTCTCATCTCCTCTCTTTTTCTCTGCATCAACCAATCAATCAATCTCGGTTGATCTTCCGTTAAAATGGACAACAGGGCCAAACAAACCAAAACCCCTCTCCTTTAAAAAAAAAAACAAAAACCACCAAAAGATTAAAAAGAAAATGAGAGAGCTTTAATAATAATTGTTAAACCCCCCGGTAACACATAACTATTTATCCTTCTATTTATTATAGTTATTGACCACGAAACGGGACCAGCCAGTAAAAGGGCAATAATGTACGGGCAATAGCAGGTTACCATAAACCTTTCACTTTGCTTGGGATAAATCAGGGGACCAGTTCTTAACCCCTAATTTCATAAGATAGGTTTTGCCACGTGGCAGGTTTTCACTCTGTTCACGAAACCTTGTCAGATTTTTTATTTTTATTTTTCATTTCTTGAGGATAATGAAAATTATCGTTATTACCCAAATGTTTCGAGACTGCAGAAATGATCAGATGTGGACAACACTTTTATCAACGATCACTGTGCTCTCTTCTTATTGGCCCACGTGGCAAGAAGTAATGTTAGTTGAAACGTGACTAAGATCGCCATTACATTTTAAAATAAATAGAAAATAAAATTGCGTACGGCTTAAATTTACGGTAACGAAGATTTTGTCAATTAAATTATTAATTATATAAAAATTGCTTCATATTTTTAAAATTTAACTAAATATATTTTAATTCATAAATTATTTTAAAATACCTAAATAATACATAATTAATCGTCACCAGATTAATAAATAAAATTTTTTTTTTCATTTCAAGCACATTATTTACAAATTAACGTATGATAATTTTTAAAATGTCCAATTTCCTTCTTAATGTTTTTTCATACTGTCCATAAATGGACTAAGTTCTTGCAATTAATCAATTATCAAACTCAATTATTTCTAAAAAAATATGCACCGCCAACGTTAATAACAACCTCATAATGTCATGCAAACGATAAGTGAAGTTCTTCTTGGACTTTCCTAATTTAATAGCGATTTTCCTATTTTGGAATTTTGTCAACGTTTTATTATCACATAATAAAATAAATAATATTAAAAGAGAAATAAAAATAAATATTATGGTCCCATTCCTATTGACACGTCACATTAATATATATATATATATATATTAAATTAAACATCCCATTAATGTATGCGTATTATAATCCTCATAGTTTGATTAGTGGTGTTCCTATTACAAATATTTTAAAATATATTTAGTATATTAGTTTGGTGATAATTACCAAATGTGGATCCATATAAGTTGATGAATATATGTCTATGTTTAATGTTTGATTTTTTTTTCCTCATATTTTAGTAACATTTAGTATTGTTTAACTTTAAATTTATTTAACATAATTATAAATATAAAGTACAAATATAATAATAATTATGATGAATCTTGTAAGGACTAGAAAGTAGAAAGAGTAGAAAAAAAAAAATAAATAATAAAAACGACGTCGTTTTAGAGAGGGGAAAAACGACGTCGTTTTGAAAGAAAGAAAAACGACGTCGTTTTGGGATGTAGGAAA